TCCATGCACCATCATTGCTCTATACTGTGCTCTCCTCTGCACTGGGTTAGTTCAAAGGCAGGTAACAAAAAAAGCTGCCCGTCTGTCGACTGACGTGTGGAGCATATTGATGTCACAAAAAAAACAACAGTTTGCTGTAAAGAGTTTTTGGCGCTTTTGCTAGGATGATTTTTCTAATAAAACTAACTGTGGAATAATTTCCCTTTTACACTCAGAGAAATGAACACAAGGCTGGTTTGGCCAACACTTGTACTAAAAGGAAAGTGTAGAACTAAACGAGAAATTTGCAACTTATACGAATTTATTCCAGTTATTTGACCAAATTGTCGAACAATAATCTAAATGTGACAAAACGAATGCGTTTTCATCACTCTATTAGAAATACATTTTATACAGCTGCCATACTCCTGCCCATTTTCAATGATATTTGATTTATATGACTGACAGTATGTTAAACTGGAACAAAGTTACACTGAGTAACTTTGTCTCCAATGACAGAACCTCCCACTGTCAAACACAGCACAGGTGAATCTTTGTAAAGGTGGCTGGAGCCCCACCCCAGCTGTCCCAGAGAGGTGGTGTACACACTGGGCGGCTCTGCTATTATAATAAATATTATTATACAGCTCAGAGTGAAAATGGAAAACGCTGGCACTGATGCCGGCGAGCTGGCTGACTGGTTTCAGAGCCAAAGAGAACACAAAGCCACATCAGCAAAGTTATGATGGCAACAAAACTTTAGATTAAGAACGGAAAAGGAAAAGTTATTACTCAGCTGCCACAAAACACTGAACAAACCCACATAACTCATTGTGTGGCCATAGTTTTGGTAATATGAGTGAGCTTGTGAGGTAAACTGAGATACAGCTGTGAGAAAAGTTCACTATTGGTCAGGCGCACCTGGTTATCCCAGAATAAGGAGTCCCTGCAGTAGATGGTGGAGACCTAAACTCAATATCATGGAGTCTTACACGACAGACAGAAGAAATGAGCCTGAATGTGAAAGCGTTAATTTCTGTGTGCATTCAAGTTGAACCTTGAACCTTGAACCTTTCTCTGGTGGCGTAGATGCTCCGAGATAGCATCCAGCGCAAACTGTGGTGCATTGGTGTTTTTATACAAGTGTGTTAAACTTAGAAGTTAAATTTACTGAACTACTATTTTATTTGAAGGTGGTGAGAATTCAGAGGCTGACCCGACTCATCCACAGCATCAAACACAGGGCAGCAAGCTGAGCGAGCCTTGGACAGGCTGCCAGCTCATCACAAACCTAACAATTAGAGATTTCAGATTTCACATACACACCTAGTGTCAATTTATTATCACCAATTGATGCCACACAGAAAGACAGTCAAGACATTTGAACCCAGCACCTTTGGCAGTGTCAGTGTACACCTGTGTTGTGGCATCACAAGAGATTTTCCTATTAGAAACGTTCTGAATGAGCCAAAAGCACAGAATCAAGCTCCACCTGGTAAAAGGGTGGCTCAGTGAACCAAGAGTGAACTACAGCTTCCTGTGACGGTGCAGTCAAGATCAGGTGATCGTCCCTGTGCGGCTGAGCCAGCCTGTTTTGTGCCCATGTGGAAGATCGAAGAGAACAATACCCCGGCACCTATTATGAGAACCAGTTTCTGTGAAAGAGACAGCTCAGATGAAATTTCTGATTTTGCCAGAGGTGTTGAAACCTCTCGGGTATTTCCTTTCTTGCCTTGAACAAAGAGAGGTCTGTGATGGAGGGGATCCACATTGTGCACAGCCTGGAAGTCCAGGCCCCAGCATCCACTGAGATATGCAGCTCCATTTGCTCTGTTCTGGGTGCGTTTGATATTTGGCAACCTGCAGCGAACACTTTTCCATATGTTTTGTGTTTTTGCACAGGCCTGATATTTCTTTAAAGCTAGGGAGGAGACTCAGGAAGCACAGAAGGAAAAGGGGAGGCATGGAAGGAATCTGACTAGAGCTGACCTCATCATGTTTTCAGATTCAAGTGGAAAAAAATACCAAAAATACCAAGACCACAGTCAGACCAAGAGATAACTCAACAACATCAGTTTAGTTCAGTAGTTTGGCAAATACATTTATTTGAGCACTTTAAATATAAAACTGCTTATGAAAAATCGTGTTTCTAATGATTTATTAGTCCCATATATAACATTACCTGAGTCACCACCTTTTACTAAACTGGCTCACAGGACGTTTTGAAAGGGACTGATTTTAAACTTCACACTGACGAATGTTTTTTTGGGGGGAAATTCTTAAGATGTATTTATGTAAACCGACATTTATATCCGTATTTAACAGGAGAGAAAGCCGCTATAGCAGGAAGGAAACCTAAAGTTGTTTTTATCATCGGAGTCATAAATGCTTCGAAGTGATATAACCGATAATAAAGTGACTTTTAAGCACAGCTTAAAAAGTATGGGGCGCCGTTTGTAAAGTGAAACATGCTGAAATTAACGGCAACATTTTTCCACATTTAGCTCAAAACAAGTCATTTTTTTACAACATTTAGTAAAATATTTGTAACTTTTCATATTTAAAACAGAATTTTAAATGTTAAATCTAAATGTTAAATATTAAATCTAAATGTTAAATATTAAATCTAAATGTTAAATCTAAATGTACAATTAGTAAATATGTACTTATATATCTAAATGATTAATGACTTTAAATCAATGTAATTATATTATATTAATCTAAATGTTAAATCTAAATATTATATTTAAATCTAAATGTTAAATCTAAATGCTAATTATATTAAATTAAATGTAAATCTAAATATTATATTTAAATCTAAATGTTTAAAATAGAATCTAAATTTAGGTACTATTTATAAACAGGAATGGCTATATGATTATGATTAGTGTTAAATCTAAATCTTAATATGTTATAATTTAAATCTAAATGTTAAATCTAAATTTTAATATAAATCTAAATGTTAAATCTAAATGTTAAATGTTAAATTAAATGTTAACTAAATGTAATGTTAAATCTAAATTTAGTTAATTATATTAAATTAACTAAATGTTAAATATCTAAATGTTAAATCTAAATTTAATTTAAATCTAAATGTTAAATCTAAATGTTAAATTAAATCTAAATAGTTAATTAAATCTAAATGTTAAATCTTAAATCATTAATTTAAATTTAAATGTTAAATCTAAATGTTAAATTAAATCTAAATATTATATTTAAATCTAAATGTTAAATGTTAAATCTAAATTAATAAATTTAAATCTAAATATTTAGATTTAAATCTAAATGTTAAATCTAAATCTTATATTTAAATCTAAATGTTAAATGTTAAATGTTAAATCTAAATGTTTAGGCTAACATGCAAATTTATTGCACGGATCAGCGGAAATACCAAAATAAAAGTTTTCTGAAAACCTCCGGTGCAAAAGTGTGCTGGTAGTGGTCAGACACGTTCTCACTCCCTAAGCGTAATAATTTTCGCTAGGTGACAAATTGTCAACATTTTATGCTTTGGGGTACCCAACACGTTCCTAAATTACGGCATCGGAAAAAGGAGAGCACATGAGAACCGTTTGGACTCAATCTACACATGTTCGTTCATTTTCTAAGAATCGTTTTGGAAAACACTATTTTACGTCATTTAACTGCTAGTAAAGGTTAGGAATAAGGTTCTAGTTAGGGATAAGGTTAGGTTTAGGACTGGAACGTCTATTATGGCGGGACCGTCATTCCACTGGAATTCAGCCATAACCCTGCACGGACCATGAGAAACCACGTCCGGCGATTTAGCTGAAAACATCGGAAGATCCGTTTTGTCGGCCATCCAAAGGTTCAGCAGTAGTGCACTCTTAGCAGCTGCAGTCTTCACTTCACAATCGCTGCAGCACGCTCGTAGGCAAGAAGTGAAGCAGTACATGGCGGGGAGAAGTGAGGAGAACAGACACAATTTTGCACCGGAGGTTTTCGGGAAGCTTTTATTTTGGTATTTCCGTTGATCCGTACAATAAATTTGCATATTAGCCTAAATATTTAGATTTAACATTTAGATTTAACATTTAGATTTAACATTTAGATTTAACATTTAACATTTGATGAAAAGTTACAAATATTTTACTAAATGTTGTAAAAAAATTACTCGAAAAAAAAACAACAACATGTTTTTGTAAGGCTTTGAGCTAAATGTGGAAAAATGTTGCCGTTAAGTTCAGCATGTTTCACTTTACCAACGGCGCCCCATAAAAAAGCTCAAACAAAAGGTGACCTGTAGTTTGGTAACAGCGGGTGTCTCTCTTTCCATTTACTTAAAAATGATGTTTTTGGTTTTACATTTATGCTTTTAAATCAGTTTGATCTTACATGCTGTGAGCCACCGATCATTTGAGCTGAAGCTCCTCCGAAAACATGATGATGATGATGATGATGATGGAGGAAGGAAGGAAATGGAGGACATGGGCCCACCGAGGAGTCTGCGCGTTTGTGTTTCAAGAACAAAGTCCTTTAAATGTTTTTTAAATATCAAACCAACTGAAAAATGTACCTTAAGAAACTTTTTAAAAGAAGTTCTATATATATATATATATATTGGATATTTAATTATTACCATGAGGATATTATGATGCTTCCATTACCAATATGTTCGGACATGTCCTAATGTAAGTTATTACCTCTGTACTGTACTGAATATACCCATCATTACTAATTATAATCACTGGCATAATGTTTGTGGCAGAATATAGAGATCACTCCCAAAATGATCGAGAGCCGCCGGTCATGCGTGCAGCGGATGCCATGTTTTCCTCTTACCGTGCCCGACGCCCGCTGTCCTGGTGTGGCCCGTATCCAATCAGAGGCACGCACACTCCGTTGAGCTTCTTGGCCAATCAGCTGTCACACACACCTGCCTAACTGCGCTGTGATCGCAGGTTAACCAGTAAACCCACACGGTCCCGCCGGGTAACAAACCCGCCTGCAGACTAACAAAGATCAGCAGGCACACAAACTGCTCCACGGTGACTCCTGTGATAAAACTTTGCTTTATTCACAATTAGAGATCTGTCGTTGTCATATTTACAAATACATAATGCAAGTAGGTACACTAAGAGACGGAGAGCAGAATTTACATCGGTCGACCCCGCCCTCTCCAGAAAAACAAAACAAAAATTATAAAATTAATAAACGCAGTGATTTTGCAAAGCCAGGTCCCCACCCAAGTTTTCAAAGAGTGACTTCAGGGCCTAAAGGGGGAGTCTTGGATCAGCGCACCTGATCACCCCGAGTCGCACCTTTGTTCCGTGTTTGGGTTGCTGTCGCGCGCGCTGTCTAATGAAGCCACGTTTACGACGACACTAAAGACAGCTGGCTCCTCTGACGTCACCTGGCGGGTTATTTAAGCACATTTGTCTCCGAAACCTGCTCAGACACACATTTATCTCCCCTTTCAAAATAAATCACTAAACTGAGAAGGTAAAACATTAATTCATTAGAAGCTCGACTTGTGGGGTCGATCCAAGTGTGTCGCGTGACTTTAAATACATCCCGAGGTTGTTTGGTTTCAATGAAAACATTAAATCTTCAGCATCCCGTAAACTTCTTTGACACCACCCACATTAATGAGCGAGATCACCATTTGTAAACCGAAACTGTGACGTGTCGTGCCTTTCACTTCGTCATCAATCACATGATCAGCCCTGTGCGACAACAATCATACCGGTAGGAAGGCTCGATCGTGTCCTTAAAGGAGCAGGCCACCGATTCGTGACAGCAAGACGGCTCATCAGAACCAAAAACAGGTTACACTGATTACAGCAGGGGCTGGAGCTGTGAAGAAAATGAAAGCTGCTGAACAGATGCATCGTGGGGGTTTTCACAAATCTAGAGGAATTTCAACTTGTTTCCCTCCTCCTCTCTCACTTTTACAGGAAATGCAACGTAAAAATTAAAAGGAAAATCTTTCTGATAATCTTCAAAGCTGTTGGAGAAATGTTTGGCACCGATGTACACTGAGGCAGCAGGCCGTCAGACGAACAAAAAGGTATTAAAGGGCTACATGAAACAGGGGCTGATGGGAAACATGATAAAACACACACAAAAAAAAGGTAATTTTTTTCTGTCAAGTACAGTTTGATCGAAAACAGCAGCCCAGACCTCGTGTACCCTTTAAACGAGTTAACCTCACTGCCCATCTGTGACCTCCAGATGAAAGTGAACAGCGGGTCAGACAGATGTGGGTTGTTGCCCGTTGCGTCTCGCTGAGGTGGCACAGCACACACGCCAAACCGCCACCACTGTACAGATGTGGCGTTACAGCAGGAGAGAGAAGGATGCATACTGACCTATACGTGACTGACAGGATGTGCACACAGTCATCTGCTTGCAAAACCTCCAGATTTGGGAAAAAAATACAAACACACATGCGCACACACACACACAGAGTAATCCAGTGAGCATTAGGGTCAGATTAGATAAAATGTCATTGCGGGACACTCACTTGAGCTTTAAACATTTTACTTAGAAAGGCACAAACTATGATTTCCTGGTAAATTATTTTTGATGTAAGAAATAAAAATCAAAAAAAGACATCTCCTTTTCTTTCATGAGAATCGACAACATTTTTCAGCCATAACTCAAATATAAGCATCATGAAGGACTCTTCCTAGATCAGTCTTTATTAAGTTGTTTCCTTAATTGTTAATTTCAAACCTAAAGTTTTCCACTGTAATTGTTTTTTCCTCCAAAAAGTGCAATAATAATAAGAGAGCTTAATATCGGTTCCTCTCATTCTTCCACAGTACCTGAGGCCAGTGACTGTGCTACAAAGTCCGCGTCGACAGACGAAACAAAATAGAAGGAAGCCAGAGTGAGGAAAGAATTGAACTCCAGAACACTACAACATAAAAATAAGTTTTCAATGCAGGGATTTGACTTTGAAAACTGAGGATTCACTTACAAAAGAAACAAAAAACAAAAAGAGGAAGAAAAAATGCATAAAAATCCTCCAGACTCTGATTTATAGATGAAACGCTTCCTGTGTCGCTCAGATTTAACATCAGCATAGTTCACCTTTTCCTCTTTCACCTTGATCCCAAAAAAGACACACCAAAGAAAATAAAATTAACAATTTCCTAATAAAGGAGCAGATTTCTTGCACTCGAACCACTTGAATGGTTTCCCCTGATCAACAGCTGACTGTTCGAACAACACACGTTCTTTATGGAATCTAGAATACAACAACTGTTTCAAACAGCATCTTTTTTCATATTCACGCCACGGTATTCGAGTTTCATTGTTACAGCTTTTTTTGTTTGTTTTCTTTAAACGTTTTTCTCGAGCCCCTCCCCCTCACGTGGTGATGCAGGTTTGTTTATTTTTCATCTGTAAAGGAATTGAAAGTCTGTGGAGTCGCTGTGACTGCAACGTTCCTGTCACTCGCTGGGATCGAGAGAGAGAGAGAGAGAGAACTCAAGCGGGGAGGTACATGTGACAGCGGGGAATGAGGTGAAAGGAGTAAGGAGGTGGTGGTGGGGGGGGTAGCTGGAAAGAGATAATGGGCGGTGGGGGGGTCTGTGTAGTTGCTTCCATTTAAAACTTGACAGTGACCACAATGTTTCAAGTTCTCTCTGTTCTCTTCTTTCACTTGTGCCTCTGGAGCGCTTTCCTCTTTCTCCTTTTGAAGAAGCAACAGCACCTGCACAAACACAGAGGCATGGCTTCCTTTAGAAAAGCAGGTATTTACACACATGTAGATACTGGTACATAGCACGGCTTGTGAGGGTTGGGGTTCAGCAGCCAGTTCTAATCTGGCTTCCTTTCTTTTAACTATTTCACTTACTGTAATCTCATCATTTGTCTTCATAATAGTTATAAATGAATTAAGGAAGTCGTGGACTTTTAATAACTCAGTTGTTCATGTTTGAAACTACAAATATTTCTTTTGGGGGATCATCTTTGAGGATCATCCACGGCACCTAATCCACTCGACTCCGCTCGGTCTTTAGGGTTTTCCACTAGGCGGCAGCGTCAGGTACCAGGTGCTTTTTTAGCGTCATCCACATGAGCAGAGTTGAGCCAAAAGATGTGACATCAACAGACTCCATTCCCCTCTTTATCCGGGAGTGATGTGAGTGAATGAGAGCGACTCCTTCAAAAGAATCAAATCTGCTATTTTTGAAGCACAGCAACACACAGACGACGCCGTGGTCAGACAGGGTGCAGACGTCTATACTGTCCTCCATTGTTGCGTTGTGTTTGTCTCTCGTGCGAATGACATCACAGGACTGTCGAGCCGCCTTGCTACAGCAACCCCACCCACACTGGGGTGGTACACAACTGTAGCGGAAAACGACCAAAACCCAGTAAGAAAACGTCGAGTCAAGCTGAGTAGGTGCAAATGGAAAAGACTCGCATAGCTCAACTATGACGATGGTAATCGAGCTGGTCGCCTATTTAAGCTTAACTAGAGCTAGCAAAGTTGTGGGCTGTGAATCGCGTAGAAAAAAGACAACATGAACACGAAGAATGTTTCAGAAAGATAAGATGATGTAACTGCTTCTAAATTAAACGAGCCATATTCATTTAAACATATTTCTGAGCATTAAAAGAGGCTGTTTTGTTGTTTTGTTTTTTTTAACTAATATGTATATAACAGCCTAGTCACTGCTTTTGTTTTTTGAGTGTGGTCTCATGAATTACTGCCACACAGCTGAGTCACAGTAAATAAAGGAGTTTTAAAGTAGGTCTAACCTGCTTCACTACACTTACAGTTATATTCTTTATGTGCAACGGTTAAAATGTTCCCCTCCCTGCTGGTGAACTTTAAGTCCCATTGATAACATTCCTACTGTGCCTCAGCTGCTACTGCTCAACATACACAGGACGCTACCAACAGAGATATGACAGTGACACACTCATACTTGATGTTTTAGTCAGGCTTAGAACAGACGCGGGCGTATTTATAGCAGGTAATAGCTCCAATATTTGATCGTCAGAGAGAAAATCTGATTTCTTCTTTATATTGTTGTAATAGGTTAAAACGGTGTATATGAATGCACTGCTGTGTTCCTATGTAAACAAACCTAACTTAACTGAAGTAGGAAGCATGGAAACAATATTTAAAGTAGCACAAAGTGCAGCTTGTTACTGTGACTAAGTCACTGCCTGTACTCAAAGGCTTCTACACGGAGGAGCTAACAACAAGGAACACAAAACAATTTAGATGCTTTTCAGCACCAATTTTGGATTTGGACTTATTGGACAGCACTGAAAAAGAAAAGCATGTGTTTTCTGTGTGTGAATGTGAGGATCCCCCCATACTTGGTTTCATCAGGTACGTCAACCTCGGTGGGAGCGGTGATGGGAGCGTTGGAGTGTCCGGCTGTGGGATCATCAGTGTTCAGCTCGCCATTTGTTGAGCTCATCACCTGCACCATTAGAGAAGGACACCAGACTGAATCCAGTTGATGAACATTCACAGGATCAAATAAATGCACCTTGACTATCACAAGTTATCCACCCTCTCAGGTAAGAAAACAGTTATGCAAGTAACCCAGGATGAGCCAGCTAAAGCCAACAAAGTTTAAAGGACAGGTTCGCACTGTTCATTTCTGTCTTCAAACACAAATAAGGCACCGAACAAGTATTGAAAACGATTTTCCTCGCTGTGATCATTTCTCCTGCTTTTTGAGGCTGGTAAGAAATCATTTCCTTTGTTTTTACTCCAAAATCTCTTCTTGTTGCTAAAGTCAGTTTGAAACACACTGAAAAAAAAACAGCTGATGGACAGCTGAACAAGAGAAAGGAAAACTGCAAGGAAAACTTGATATGTGAATAAGACTGCAAGACAAGAACGTGAACCAATCCTCTAAATACTGCAATTCTATTAGCCGACACTCGGTGGCGCTTGTGCACCACATTTTCTGCAGAGACTTATTTCCGGTGACACAGTTTACACACTGAAAACAGCAAAAACACAAAGAAAGATTATAGAATAAATGTACAAAAATAGACCTTTTAGTGTTTCTATTATATTATTATTATTATTTATTTGTACAGTAATCTGTATTTATTTTTTATAAGATACTGCTGGATGTCATCTTTGGATGGCCTTGGATACAAGCAGCCTAGAAGCAGACCGACAGCAGTGACACACAGGATTCACACAGTCTGATTCGAGCACAGAGTCGAGACAGAACATCTAACGGGCAGGCAGTGTGAAGTCAGTGAGAGAGAGGGGAGGGGGGGGGTCAGACACACAGACAAACCTATATGGCCTCATGCATGAGCCATCAAAGCAGCAGCTGTAGCAGCAGCAGTACCTGAACAGAGCCCCCCAGCCGCTCAGCTGTGAGGTGCGACCCCAGAGTCTCCTTATTGGTCACGGGAGTGGGCTGAGACTCACTTCCTTTGGGCTCAGGCGACTTGACGCAAAGAGCAAAAAGGGTTGAGGCAGGTGGGTGTGAGGTGGTGAGGAGGGAGAGGGGGGTGAAGAAGTTTGTGGGGGTTATGGGTCAGGGGGTGAGGGAATGAAGAGTGAGGGAAAGGCAATGTGGTTGAAGGGGGTGAGGGCAGAAATGTGGAAGGACAATGAGAGGAGTTGGGGAGGGGGGGTGGATTAAAAAAAAGAAAAGAAAAACAAAAATTATAGAAGACATCTCCCAAGCAGAAGCAGGCTTGTTAAGACGAACTATGTTAATAGAGGAGTAGAGGGAAGCAAAAATTTATGTGAAGCACAGATCGACACTCTAGTAAAATCATGCAGGAGTAAAAGAAAACAGCCTTGATGGGCTCAGCTGGCACCGCTGAGCAACAGCGTCATCACGTCATCAGACTCTCTGAACTTAGCTGTGGACTCGGGTTTACAGTACAGCAGTTCCTACACTCTGCTTTCACTGACCTAAAAAATATATGTACAAATATGACATTTGGCTACAGATGCTCACAGCCAGTACTTTCTATTGATACGCTGTTTTAAGCAGGATGTTAAAGCTTTACAGTCATTACTGTACATGGTGCAGAAGGCCGTGCGCTGCGAGCTTAAAAGGTGGAACGTTATCGCCGAGCCAATCGCATTAAATACAGAGTAATAAAAAGAGGCTAGAGTCCACAGAAACAAGTCAATCATAAAGTCAAACGGATTCCTTGTACAGCTTTACTGGAACCGATGAGTCAGACTCACCAAGTACAACTTCATGATCAGGAAAATTATTTGTTATCACTGGTTATATTTTATAGATTTTTTTGGCATAATAAAACCAATCAATCATTATCCTATCATTAACATTATATAAAAACAAAAGAAACAAGGCTCGGATAGCATGCTATTAACAACAAAAAGTCAACACTTTGTCACAGACTAAGCAAATAAAGACGGATGACAAATTAAAGGAAAAACATGAACCCCTGATCGCCACAGTGAGGTGATCTGGTGACTCCGGCATCTCCCACCTGGTATGGGCCCACTTTTCAATTCTATTCAATTTTATTTATACAGCTTAAGGTGCTTTATATTGTAAGGTAGATCCTGCAATAATAGATACAGAGAAAAACCCAACAATCATATGACCCCTATGATCAAGCACTTTGGCGACAGTGGGAAGGAAAAACTCCCTTTTAACAGGAAGAAACCTCCGGCAGAACCAGGCTCAGGGGGGGGGCGGGCAGCTGGGGTGAGAGAAGGAGCCTAAAGGGATGTTTGACTGCTCATCGATACAATGCTGTGCTGAGTGGTTGCATTTAGCCAATGGTTGCACATTTCTGTTCTGACAGGAGTGATCTCTTCCAGGATAGTCACCGATTGGTTTGGTGATTATGCAAATAGTGTGAATCATATGCTATGGCCCCAAAAGTCAGGAGATAGCCCAGGTGAACACCAACGGCACATTTTGAGCTTGGCTGTAAGACGGTGCTCTCCGCCGGCGCTGTGCTCAAACCCTCCGGAGAGTTCAAGAGGTGGTGTCCTGGCAGCTCGTCACCTTCCTAAAGTTTGGATTGTTTTTTTCATTTATTTGTCACTCGTCTGTACTTTGTCATTACTGGTGTGAACAATGCAATTTGCATTTTCAACTCATGCATGCAATGACTGAGCTTAGCGTGGCAAGGTGTGAAGAATTAATCCAAGTCAAAAACGATGCTTTGTTTCACAGCTGGAGAGTCTGCCTCGTAACGGCACGTGCCCGTTCATTTGCTACAAAGGCATTCGTTTTGTCTTTACTTTACGGACTTTGTGGGGAGACGGGCGTCACTGCCGACCAGTCAGACTGTAGACGCGAACTAGAAGTTGCTTACATTTGGAAACAACGAGAGTGACCTCGAGGATAAACCTGACTGGTTTGGGTGGTCACCCAAGCAACTATATTGGTAGGCGGGAGTGGTGATTGTTGTGTTTTAATGTTGTTGCTGATAACCTCACCGGGTTTTTGGTCTGCTGTTGTGCTTTGTCTCTGCTGTTGGGCTGCACGGGCGTGTCACTGGGGATGGGGCCTATCGGTGTGGGCTGCAAGGCAAACGAACAAAAGCACAAACAAAACAACCTTAGTGAGAAATTTTTAAAAACAACAAACAAAAATAAATAATGTTGATGCCCACGTGATGAGAGACGCTTTTGGCAATTTGGTAATCGGGTTTGCAAAAATAATTAGCTTCGCGTTATTAAGAAATAATTACAGTTAGAGCAACAATACAAACTGGTTGATGATGCTAGCAGAGGTCAGGTGGGTTCAGTGAAAGGCACTCACGAGCGATTTGCCGACCCAGTCGTATTCGTAGTCGAAGACGTAGCCGTTCCTATCAAACAGATCGGTGAAGAGCTTCCTCAAGTAATCGTAATCCGGCTTCTCAAAGAAATCCAGCCTCCTCACATAGCGCAGGTAGGTGGCCATCTCTTCTGTACCAAAAGATATATACTGTGAAATCCACACCACTTTCATTTAAAATAAATAAACCCGAAAGGAGGAAAATGGCGCTCTACTGACCAGGGAAACTTTCACAAAGGACTTCAATCGGCGTTGCTCGCTTGGTGTCTCCAATTTTCTGATACCTCTCCTTCAGGGTGTCGGCCTGCAGGGGAAACAAGTTTAAATGTTTACTGTACTATAAATTCTACTCTAATCTAAATATGAGCACATGTGCTGCTGCTTGAGGCATCCATGAACATGTCCAATATTCAAAACAGACAGATTCTCAAGTCGTGATATCACATGTGCAGCGCCTGCATTTGTGCCGCGGCTCTTTGGACTCACAGAAGTTTTGCCACATGTCATGTCGATATCAGCACTTTGCAACATCGTCTCAGCTGTAGATATCTGTTGGTGTGGGGAAAGAAATCCCACAAATCTAGGGCAACCTGTCGCTGACCTCCTCACTGGCACAGGAAAGGCTTCTCAGCTGTTATTTAATTTTCTATCACACATGATGGGATGTTCTTCTGCTCTAAACCAACCAGATCCCCTCCAACCCTTCAGGGTGGTATAGTTTTACACTCCATACAGGGGGTCAGCACAACTCTGTGCGAGTTCCTTAGCTGCCAATATATTGATCGATAAGCTTCAGTGGATTTTCAAGCTCACTCTCCTGTTGTGTGTTTGTGTTGGCCAGAGCTATCCAACATCCCCCACATTTATACATCCCTCACATTCATCCACCAAGAGCTTCCACCCACATAGCAAATGTTCAGATGAGTTGTCTTGTCTTCTAGTCTGTTCTGTGTACACCTTTGATACCGATGCCTTCAAAAAGCAACCACAGCAGCTTTGCAGCCTGCTGAAACCGGCCCTTGAGACACCTGCGACTGTGGCCGTGCTCCTTAGTCATGTAAGCTTTTTCTCACAGCTCTTAAGATGCAAAACAAGGTGCAGAAGGTGGTTTCCTGTCGCATCTGATTGTTTGTGCAGAAAAAGGCGTGTAAATTCAACAGAAAAATAAAGAGACAATATTTTAAGTATCCAACTGTGCCTATTTAACTGTTTCTCAGTGTTTCAGTTTCTAAAAAGAGAGACCTTAAAATGTCACCAGTCTGAGAGGATGCTAAAGTTGAGTGGGCGTCAAGTATCAAAAAAGAAACCGCTACGCCACGCATCGAGTGGATTACAAGACAAGCGTTATATCAGCATGAGGCAAATTGCTGCAGTACCTTTAGGCCTTGCCAGGGAAGGCTGCCTCGAAGGAAGTACATGAACATGTGACCCAAGGCCTCCAAATCGTCCCTTCTGCTTTGTTCTGGAAGTACAAGATCAGGATGAAAATGAGGTTAGCTGTGATAAACAAATGCATTTTATAACCAGCTGGCAAGACTAACAGTGGCTTCAAAGAAACAAAGCACGAGTCCACTGTTCCCGTCTTAAAAACATCTTATCGAGCCTCAACATTAAGATGGCCAATCGTGCGTCACGAAGAAGCAGCAGACTCAGCTTCTCACGGCAACTACTGATTAAGGCAACAAACCGATCAATGTTCAAGTTCAACACACTGAGATCTATCCTTATCAGGCTTCATGTACACCAACAATGGCAATCACGCTAGGCGGTCACATGAAGGTTGTTATCAATGCGATAACCACCAGCCAGTCCAGGGTTTAACAATCTATTCACACATTTATATAAAACAGGCATTGCTGGCAGCATGTGCCCAAAAGAGGACAAGAGTACTAGCAGCAGATTTTACAGAGGCTAATAACTTTCTAAAAGCACAAACATATCGTCAATTTTTTGTTTTCAACTCTTCTGTAGAAATGGCCACGTTTGTAACACGGAAAACTCTGGTTTAAACCTACAGTTACCATGCTAGGCCCGTAATGCTGCTTTGTGCTACAGGACTATGAGGTTACTGGTTAAAATTCTTCAAAATAACCCAGAAACGAAACAAGACATCAGAAAAATATGATTCATTTAACAATCCTAAAGCATCCCTGGTTATCTCGCATATCACCAACATTCAGGTAACACCCAGTGACTAAACAGATAACAGTATGTAAAAATCAGGTTAATGCCATTTGTTTGCAATGCTGCATTTGCGAGCAAACCAGTTAGGACATTCACATTATACTAAATATTCATGCAAATAAAGTTTGCATATGCAAATGTAGACAGCTAATCAACCCACAGGTGTATTCCTGAGACTTTCTTACCCTTTCCCAGGTGTGTGTTAATGCTCATGTAGCGTGCCGTCCCAGTCAGACTCTTGTGCTCCCGATAGGGGATGTGTTTTTTGGTCTCGGGGTCTATGTATTCTTTGGCCAGACCAAAGTCAATGATGTGGATGGTGTGCTGCCTCTTGCTTCCTGGCCGCCCAACAAGAAAGTTTTCAGGCTTCACGTCTCTGTAGATCAGACTCTTGGTGTGGACATACTCCATCCGTGTTATCTAGGTGAACGATCGGTGTTAGCATTTGAAGTTTTAATCGCTCTGCAAGCTGAACAGTTCCCAAACATGAAAACTCAAAGCAGTTTATGCAAAACGCGATAAAAAGAAAGCCTGCCCATTAAAAATGTTAACGGCAGCCAAACCAAAGACAAAACTGCAACAGCACAGCAAGCATGTCCACCTCAGCAGAGGCTTAGAACATGAAAACATCCCAAACCCAAGCACATGTATGTTTACTCAATTTTTTTAAAAATTTGAATGAAAAAAAAAAAAAAAAGAGTAAATGCTACATGCACAGGCTTCTCTCATACTCTCATGTTGTGGCTGATGATGCTGATGTAATATCTTACCACTGTCATCTTATATCGAATAAGATTTTAACACCGAATTCAAACACAAAGTAATTTTGGAACTAGATACTACAGAACTTTGTACTCTTCTCTACTCTGTTTCTAGCTGCAGTGATAATGGAGCCATCTTCCAGGCAAACACTTTAATAAACTAAAATTCAGACTTTCTAGTATTTACCCACTGAGTTCAGAGTCAGGTTGAGGGGTCAGTAAACCTGCCCTCTGGAACAAGCCGCTAACAACAACATTTGTATTCACAGTTGCACTATGAATAACTTTCTGGGAAGCCTGATGTCACCAAAGCAAGCTCCTCTGAACATATGCTCACTCCTCTCCCACTTTAGGCCTTACCAGCTGTATGGCTATCATGAGGACGGTCTTGAGGGAGAAGGTGCGGTCACAGAGGTCAAACAGGTCCTCTAGACTGGGCCCAAGCAGCTCCAGCACCATGGCATTGTATTTCCCACAAGGACCAAAGTAGTACACCTGAGGGATTCCCTCTGTGGAGACACAATAACAACGTTAGTGAGACTTTTTAGATTTTGCCTTATAAATTAATTGACTGCAACACAGTTATTGATAATCGGCTTTGCATAATCACTTTTGAGACTTTTATTTTCACTGTGTTACTAAGTCAGAGTTTGTTACACCATTGGTTCCTGGTAGGCCAGCACATGCTGTCAGTGTTGTAGTCAGTCACAACAACTGTAAACAACAGCAGTGAAAACATGATGTTTTAAGTGTTAACATAAATTAAGTGCTTAATTGTTAATTAACAAAGTGCTTTGTGTGCTGAATTATGGCGCTGGTTTGTTGATAAGAAAGAGTAGGGCAAACTTTTATTTCCTCAACAGGTTTTTCAGAAACAGGAGTGGCTTAGTGCTTTCTTTGTCCTCTGAAGCAGGATTAAAGGGAAAGATGTCAGCGCCCAACCAACAACTGTACAAAGCCTTTGTTACCAGAAACTGCCACACCCATCATAGTCCGTGTATAGGATGACTTCTAAAGAATGTGGAAGGATCAACCCGGCAGTATTTACCTTCTTTAAATATATCAGCGTTTTGACAGTGGAACTTCTGGGGGCGTGGCAAAACTGTTACGAAAACACCCCCTCCCCTGGAATAATCAGGAACAGTAAAGTCTTGCTTCATTTTTCAAAAATACAAGTGCATCTGAAAACCACCAGGAAAGATTCAAATCTCTTAAAATCAACTGCAGTTTGTGTAAATGTTACACAGTAAAGTATTTTGGCCTGAGGCTGCGGTTTCCACACGCTTTATTCTGGCGACGACGACGACAACAACTGAGAGCAGGGAGGATCCAGATTTATCATTTCTTTATAGTCGTTAATCCACCATCATGCACAAGCTCTTTCACCAAAATTATATTTTTAATCCTAAATATAATTATTGTTCTTATTTGTGAATTTTCAAATTGACCATTATACAAAAAAAGTTTTAAAAAAAAATTAGTTAAGTACCTGTTTGTTTTTTTTTACTAAGATACCAAATTACAGGTCTTTACTTGCATTGCTAAGATGAAAAATTTGTTTTAGTGATTGAACGTTAGGCTTCTTTGTGTGGGCTAAAATTTGGGTTAACAATATACTCATTTTCCTATTTGTTTATTTATTTATTACAAAAGCACAAGAACAGACTTGCTTATCTGGACAGATTTTCTTTTCCAGTCTTATAACCTTTTTGTAGTCATGAGCAGGGCTTTTGAGCCAAAGCTACAAAGTTTGCAGCTTAATGATCAATTCATGGTACCACATTTGTGTCCATTTGCATAGCTATTTGACTACGCAGAGAGAAAGATCACAGGTATGCGACCTACACAAATGTGCTTGTGTCCAGACTTCTAAAAACCTACAGGGACGATGCTGTGCATAGATTAAATGCTGATTTGCTGAAAAGGAAAGGGAGTGACAGCAGAGATGACCAAATGGAAAATAAACATAGATATCAGTTCTCTTATAGGTTATAACTACAGTACTCTGCAGTGTGGAAGAGCCACCCACAGAATGATTGTTTGACACATGTCTGACGGGGCGGTAAACAGCTACAAAATGTAGGCGATGGTCTGCAAAGCTGTGCACAGGACTGACGTACAGATTCGCACACGTGTGTTTCAGGATTTAATGCTGTTGTTTCTCATTCACTTTGAATTTGGTGAACGTTCCATCCATTAAAATATGTCTTTAAACCACAACAGTTATCTTCCCACCAGATTTACATAAAAATAAAGAGTAAAATACTAAAAGAATGATCAAGCTCTAACATACAAATCTAAGAAGGAACTACAGTGAGACAGAGATGCCAGAGTTGTTTAAAGAGCTAAGGATCTGACTTTAGGACTAGTCACGTATTTCTCTCACATTTAAATAACAGCTAGTAAATCAGTTGCCAGGAACATGCTTAGAGTGGGCACAACTCTGCATTGCCTTAATGGTAGTTTAACATTGCAACAGGACCCCAGTGCATCCATGCACACGCATACACACAAACAAGCACGTCCGTCTGCACTTTAGCCTCTAGGATTTCACTGGTGATGATGGAATGGACTGTATTGACATTTATAGAGCACCATTATACTCTTGCTGACCACTAAAAACATTTTATACTAAAAGCCACATTGACTTTTTTTAAAAAAAAAAATATAAACTTGGAACATAAACACCAAAGACTCTATTCTTTGCATGTTAGTGTTTTATCCAACATGCATCCAAACCAACAGCTAGTTTGGAATCACCAATTAAATGCATGTCTGTGGTCTAATACCACAGATGAGGCAGTGATGAGAGATCACTCGGAGGCCTGCTCGTCAAAGCTTGGCCCAAATCTAGAGGGCATTCAACTCATCACGAGAGGAGAGTGCAGTGTGTATCGTAATCTTCTGCGGGTGAGCAAAGCTTGTACACAGAGCAGCTGCGAGAACTAGTCTAAAAATGACTGATGGGACCAGCTGGGAGTAAATGAGGTGATTTTTGTCAAAAATGTAATATAGACCATGACACAACAATAGCTGTGCAAAAGAGGATCTTGTCTCAAGCATAACGACAAAACAAGGATCCTTCAACAACACACAAAGCAAACTGAAACGCCCTGACTAGGATAAATGGCTGTAATTCTAACCGTAACATAAAGTCGTACAAAAATATAAACTGTGTGTTCAGCATTGTGGGAAAAGCTCTGGCTTTCACTGCAAGCCCGCGTCAGTGGCGCTCTGACCCTTGCTGTCTTGACAATTTCAGACAATTCACCCAATTGTATGAGTAGGCAGTCCTTCTCAGGCGACACAGCAAGAGGGAAGGCGGCATCATGCTAGTCGAACACAATGTTGGCCTACAATGAAATGTCAGCCTTAAGGGCCAAAGAGGAGAAGTCTGGGGGAGAGGGGGCAGCGTCAAAGAGGAGGGTAGAGGAGAAGGAATCCATATTAAAGATTTAGATTAGAGAGTCGAGTATATTGAGGAGAGAGCAGGAGAAGTAGAGACTTCCATTAGGTTCACTGCTCTGAAGAGGTTCTCACAAAGTTGAAATATGATCAGCGTTCGAGCTTTCAAAGACTGAGCCGGAAGCTAAAAATGCAACACAGCTTAAAAGCACAACAATCTCCGAAGATGCAGTCAGGTTAAAAACCAGCAGCTTGAGGATCAAGCAGCAATACTTTTGTTGAGTTTACGTAAGTTAATTATTAATTATATCTGATAACTTTAGATTTTAACCTCCGCAGAAGCATGTGTGGCCCGATGACACCACAGCTTAAGGACACGGTTGTTAAAATAATCTTATCAGTCCAACTTTGAATAATACCAGCAGCAGTAAATATATAAAAGCACATGATTTTCCAGGGTCACAGCAGGTGGGTGGATGAGCCTCAATGATTTGCAGAAAACATTGTCAACAGAGATCCTGTGTCACCAACGTGCCGCGTCATGCCACTGAAAGCCTTCATGATTCGGAATATTAACAGCCGCAATATTCGAGAGGAGACCTCCATACAAATGACCCTAATTACATAACATCCATGCAGGCGTGATGAGATGACTCGAAGAGCTACATGGCTATAAAATGCCATTAAATGATACCTACTCTCTATAAACTGAAGCCAGTCCCCTGACAGTGGTAAAGTGAACGATTGGTAGCATTAGACTTCTTCTAAAAGGATGTGTCAATGACTTGTTTTGCTACCGGCAGCAGCAGCAACTGCAATAACAGATCCATTCTAAATCACAAAAATCTGCAAAGTGGGAGACAGGATTCCCAACAGCGGGGATCTGTTCAGGACAAGAGAGAATTAATAGTGTGCAGATAAGCTCCTCCTGGGCGTTAAGCGCTGAGTAGTCCGTGCTGTGACATATTTGAGGTTCTCCGGTTGGGCAGGACTAACAGGGTCACATGTCCCCATTAAGCCAAGTTGACAACATAAGTAGATTTAATCTATCGCCTTGATTCCTCCCATGCTAGACGGTCAAGTGAGCCTTCCTGACATATCACCATGTAGTGGTCAGTCACCAGCTGGAGATGAGGCCTCTCTGCTCAGCTCTAATACTGCAGCTCTAAAGTGTTGTGCAAGTAGCAAAAGAATGAATCACATTTTGATAGAGTCAGATATTCCCCATTATTTTCCTTGATTTACACACACAGTTTGCAAAACTTGACAATATTATGTAGCCACCTGTTGAATGTGAACATCTCTTAATGTCAGAAAGCAGCCAGATCGCTTCATTTATTTAAAATAAATGAGCCTTGCCACAGAAATTACTCGTGTGTGTATGCTTCCGCTTGCAAAAGATTAACACAAAAGACATCTGGCACAGGTCGGAGCAAATCACTATTACTGAACCTGTTTAGAACAGGAACATAATATACTTCAACCTAAAACAAATTAAACCACTGACAGTTCAAGTGAACAACCTTGATTATCCAATTACACTGGCACCTGACTATTAGGCAGTCAGTGTTCAAAGGATAATGTGGTGGAAGAAAAAACAGAAAGTGCAGGAGTTCAGGGAAAGCTGGCTTGTGCTTGTTACAGCAGTGCTACTGCAGTACAAACTGCTGAGAATCCTAATTTTACTCAGTGAAAGCTATCCGAACACAAAGTACATCACAGTTTGCTGCGTATGGAAGTCTGCAGTCACTCAGTGTCCATGCTGACCCTGTCCAACGCCCCATGCTCACAATGGGCATGTGTGAATCAAAACTGGACAGGAAGTGGAAGGAAGATTGCCTGGTCTCATGACGCATACCATTATTGTGCACACCCAGGTGCATGTGTGTGGTTGCTCGTGGTTCCAGCAGTTTGGGAAGAAGGCAAGCCAAAGCGGTGTGATACTCTGGGCTTCTTTGGCTTGTTGTCCCGGTGAGTGACAGGGGAGGACTAAAACAGCCCAACAGTGCCATGTGTGGGATTAATGGCTGTGAGCCACATCAGGGATACTTTAAAAAGGCCAATGATCACTTGTTGGTTTTTAGCACCCCTGAGGGATGGCTACTGAACAACAAACAGAGGAATGGAGAGGATATGTTTTTGCATCGCTTAACTCCACACTTAGTATCGGTGCTGAATTCAAGTGGATAGGGACAATCGTGTGTCTTCGCCCAAAATCAGTTTGAGTAAAGACAATATCAGAGCTAAGCAGGTGCATACACACACACACACACACACACACACACACACACACACACACACACACTAAAGCTAAAGACCAATAGTGGAAACAGGCTTGTACTGCAGGAATCCTCTGCTATAAAAAAGGAAAGTGGCACTGGAGGTGACAGGTACAGTTATGGTTGACTACATGTAAATGTCAAATGAAGAGATTACACCAAAGAGTGCCATCCAGACAAACAAGCCACACCCTGTCAACACACCTTGGAGCGTTTCCCTACAGTGTACAGGCAGCGCACAGAGAGGCAGAGGATATCGTGACTAAGGAGACTAGGGAAGCTATCCAAGCAGACACCATAATGGCCCAAATGCTTGTAGAGGGCCAGCTATAAATAGCCAAGGACTGCCCTAATGCCCCACCTCCGTATCAACAGTGGAGGGTTTTTGCTCTGGCACAAGGAGCCAAGAAGCAGGCACGTGTCACTAAATTAGACCAGGACACATGCACTTTACTTAACAAACAGACGAGAATCACTGCAACAACAGGAGCACTTGGAGTAGATTTAGAATAGCACACACAAACGACCAAGTAAGCTTCATTTAAATAGGTACAGTCGGGCTTTTTCAGTTTAACTGAAAAAATGTTGTACTTATAAATATACATTGATTGGTGTGTAATTAGGTCTTCCAACAAATTGATGCATTCTCATAAACTTAGAACTAGTCCACTCAAAATACATAGGAGCGAGCGCTGGATTGCAGAAGCCACCGTGTTGCCCAACATCCTGAATACAGTGTCTGAGACAGACACATTACACATTTATGAGTGTAGCTAGAGACCAGCCACATATGTAGGATGACAAAGACAGAGGAGAAGAGAACTTTAACCAGGTGGGGTTGGAGGGTGAGAGCTGATGGTGAAGCCCATCATGCAGGTGCAACCACCAGTCACCACCACGAAGCCTGCAGCTGCAAACTAGAGCAAGAAGAGGCCCAGACCTCACAAGCCTTGGAAGAGCCGCTGCAGGTTCATAGTTATGACACCATGACATGATTTCTATTTCCTAAGGAAGAAGCGAGCAAAGGTAGAAACTATATATTGTTTACACTTCCAATATCTCGACTTGCAGTGAGTGTCCTTAGTAGCAGGTGGTGAAAGTAAATCACTAAAGAAAAATTGGTGCACTGGACTTATAAAACAAGACAAAACAAGAGGATTGTTTCATAACCTGCAGTGACCAAAATCATAACTAACGATTAAACTCAATTAATCACCCATCTTCACAGGTGCTCATGATTGTCTTTCTGCGTAAGGTTTCACTTGCAGCACAGGTAAATCTAGTGTGAAGACATCCATTCACATTCAACTCCTGCCTGTGCTATTAGAGGGAAAAACTAAATACAGAAAAAGAAAATACAAAGTGAAGTCTCTTACCTGAATTCCCCAACTGTTTGTAAAATCTATACTCCAAATGGAGCTGTGGCGCCCTGGATTTTATAGGTTCCTAAAAGAGAAGAAAGGAAGAGTGTTCACACATCAGTTTGTGTAGGTATGCGTGCGTACAGGTGACTGCATCAAAAGTTGCTTTTTTTTGGCACAGAAAAAGTTTTCCTGTAAATGAGATAAATGTAAAACTAGGGCTGTTCGAACATAAACCTTTCACAATAAAGCTCAAGATCCTGTTGAGACTTTTCAAAATAAACTGAAACATGAAAGAGTATGCAGAGTGTTTACGGATGAGAAGCAAAAAAGAGACGTCAGGTGTAGGGGTGGGTTTTAATAATCGATTCAGGCTTGGATAACGTGATATCGATTCATTAAAATCCTGAATCAATATTTTTATATAAATGTATTTTGCGGAAATTCCAGAATCTCAGGTGAAACGTCACAAAATTTTGACAACCACCAAACATTTAAAACAGTAAATGTGAGCAGGAACACGGCTTCTGCACAAAGACGTAAACACAAAGCGCGGACCCACGGATCACAATCAGTGAGACGTCGCCTTTCTCCCCCGACGGCACAGACACGGTCGAGGATGAAAGCCGACAGCTCGCTGATTCTGATGTTTCGGCGGGTCCGCGCTTTGTGTTTACGCCCTTTTTGCCTAAAGCTGTTAGTTTTTATCTCTCTCCAAACAATATTGACCAAACCAGCAGCAAAAGAAGATCCAAACTAAGCTTCACATAAACATCGTCATGGACTCACTCTGACTTTTGCTGTTTTGCTTCCACCACAATAAAATCACACTTCATGCACAGCTCTCTCTCTCAGTATACTTCAAGAACAGTTTCCCGTCTATCCCTGAAATCTGTTTCCTGCATTATTCGTTTGCTTGTTACGCACAAGACTACCGTTGTTTACAGGCTGTCGGCCGCTGTTTTTTTTTTTCCTTTTACTTACTTCCGAAAAGAAAACCTAATTTCTGCCGTTCAATAGGCTTTTAAACAAATTTAAATTTGTCTCTAATAAAACCGCTGTAACTTCAGAGCTAATGTTCATAAGTTGATTAAAGGTTTTCTTTTGTTATTGATCTACTACAGAACATTTTTATAAAATCCCAGGCCAGGAAAATCGCCTTCATGTTTTTCTGTGTTTTATCTTCAGCTACTTTGACACAAAGGCCTCTGCTGTGATGCTCACACCTTTGATAAAGTCTCAAAAGTGTCAGCTTCCTTTTTATAGATACAAAAATATGTAAATATACTGATCTGAATTATAATATTTCTGACTGTCTGAGGCAAAATTTCCCAGATTCAAATCGAATCGAATCGTGGATCGAATTGATTCAGGACCTTGTCAATCGGAATCGATTCTAGAAATCAGTGACGATACCCAGCCCTAGTCAGGTGCTAAAAAATAAACATTAGACTCAAACGTTAGAACAGGCTTTTCCCCGCAGCACGCCGTGTAATAAATACTCACAACGAAAACGGCGGCCGTTACAACTTATAACCAAAATAAATATCGTTTCATGCATCGGTTAAAATTTCCAGGTACACGAAGCCCAGCTGGAAACACTTCACGCAAGTCGAGATGCCCGAGATTCACAGAATTTACAGAAAATGTTACATTTTTGTGACTTATATTATTACGTTATTGAGACGATAGAGGTCTTATATCGGGATATGAGATTTTGGTCATATCGCACGTGAAAGGACGTTTTAAACTCCCTACACCATAAAAGTGTGAATTTTACCCCAAGGGAGCAATGTTTGTGAGGAACAACCTCGCATGCATTTTTATGATTGCACTGCCTTGCAATTAACTTAAATACTTATCGTACCACGTTTTACTTATTTTAATGCCAAACAGAACTTTAATTAAGTTTCAGGTCACACTTGAGGGACGTGAGAGGATAAAGAGCAGTTCCAGCTGGTGTACAACAGGCTTTTGTGATGACATGGCTGATAATCAACACGCCAGGACATAATGTTCATTATATCGCAAGCTCCAGCTTTGCAACCTAAAATGTAATCTGATTAACCCCACTCTCATGATGACAAGGGCATTATAGACAAACGTGAAGGGGATAGAACAAACACACCCAACTTAATTCCTCTCCTTAATCTTCAATAGCTGTGCCACAGCCTTTGTTAAAACCCAAGTTTTAGTGCTTGGTGTACTGGCTTTACATGCCTAAAGTTTTGTAGCTTTCTGTGTGTTAAGTCAGCTACTCTACATACAAAAATATGAAAATCCCCTAAACTTTATTGAGCCCAGCAACTTCACTTTGATCAACTTGTTTCCCATGGGCATCTAATTCCAAAGCACTCCTATTTTAAATTATATAAACTGAAAGCTGAAAGGCTGTCAAGCTCCCACATTCACTCCATTAGGCCTTTATCAAATCAGGAGCATCGTCTACTTCTGGTGCCCTGCAAGGACGTAGGAGTGTGAACACAAAGTATGAGCCATGTTGAACACGGTAAGGGACTTTACATCCTTTTATGATAAATGGCTGTCAGGGCTATAAATACATCCTGTGGCTTTTGTTTAAGGTGCTTTCAGAAGACGGTTTAGCGGAGGTGGTTTTAAAAAAACAAAACAAAACATAAGAGCATTGACCAACCTTGCTATAGTGTTGCCTGTGTGCTAAAATGCCACCCACATAGGCCCTGGTTTAATCAAGGTGCCTAATTGTGGGGAAAACAAAAACAGCTGTGATCAGTGTTATACAGCTAGTTGGCTTTTTCCCTCTCTAATACACTGGATTTATTTGGTAATGTTATGTTATGTGTTTTGCAGTGTGCAACTTCTGCAAACAGCTGAGAAAGCTAGCATTTAAGCAGTCTTTAGGAATACATATGCAGGCTTCTTGAAGGACATTCAATTGTCTGCCTTTTGCTCTTTGTCAACATGATCCAACACTAGGGCTGGGCCATATCATCCCGTTCACGGTAATACCGGTGTAATGTTGGGCAACGATAAGAAAATGAAATATCGCGATAGACTATGGGTAAAACGCGCATGCACAGTGCCTTTGTTTACATACGCACATGGCGGCGACACAGAATGAGAAGAACGAAAGCGGATCGTTGAATGAAACAGATGAATCTGAACTGGTTTCGTCCGTCAGATACACAACAAAGCACTATTTTTGGTAGCGCATGCTAGCGGGCCGTCGTTGTTACCGTGTTGTTTGGAAAATACGGCGCACTTAAAATCAATCCTTTGATTTTTCTGAAAGTCGACAGAGCCCCTTATAATCCCGTGTGCCTTATGTATGAACTCTGGTTGTGTTTACTGACCTGGAAACGATTTTATGTGCACGGCGCTCGAAAATCTGTCAAATGTTTCAGTACGACTTTGCTGAGCTACGAAGCCGCACCGCTTGATGGATTGTCGGAGCATTACGGCTATCGTAGGCGGAGCCTCGCGGAGTGGTACTGTGCTTCAACATAATATTACTGTATTGTGTGTATAACCTCTTTTTAAGTTTCGTGGATATTATACATGGTTATGCTGAGGATGTGTCGGCCAGTTTCCACTGGAAATGCCTTTTGGTTAAACTGTCAGCGAGGAATTTGCACTGTTACATTTTTATATTTATTTTAATGCACATAAAAAACAGCTGCTTGTTTAAGTGAAAATACATAGATGGGGTTTTTTTGCACTAAAAAAGTTGTGGTGTTGTAAAGTATTTTGTCTAGTGTCAAATTATATCATCAGTTATATCTTATCGCAAATTTTCAAATGTATATCATGATAAATATTTTTGGTCGCCCTGCTCTATCCAACACTACTCTGCACATAATGATGGTGATTTTATTAAAAATATTTCAGATCTGGATTCATCACTCCATAAATCTGTGTCCTCTGATTTTATTCACTCATTTCTGATGAGGTTTCAGTAAATGGAACAATGGGGGCAGATCCTGTGTCAGTCTTTCTTAGAGACATGACTGCACATCTACGGTAGTTCTTTTAAGCCTGGCAGTTCTTTTGTCCTCCATTTGTCGAGTTTCATGAAAATGATTTAGAACCCATTACACATGACGCTGTGATATGATATGATATGATATGATATGATATGATATGATATGATATGATATGATATGATATGATATGCCAAGTTCATGGCTAACAGGTCTTTGGGTATCACCTTGCTGGTGGAAAACCGCTGGATTGTGCCGGTCAAACTGCACCATCTTTGGCATTTTTGTGGATTCAACTAAATAAATAGGAACAATTATGTGTTGTTGTGACAGGCTTGTAGTAACAAAGTGTCCAGTGATTCATAGATCAGTGTTAAGTAATTTAACAAAAAGAAATATTTCTCAGATACAAACAATTATTCAGTGTCCTTAGAAAAAACTTTGAAAGGCCTCCAGAAAGACTGAAGAGCACTTTTAAGCAAGCCTGGCTCCTTAGAAGCAAAATATAAAGAAATGAGGGGTGGCTCAAGACTTTTGCACAGTGTACAAATGTAAACATAGTATATTAATAAGCACATGGAAAACCCTTCTTTGAAAAAGAACTATACGCATAGTTTTCTAGAACATATGATGATGGGATAAGCCTTTGGCTGATCTCAGAGTCATCACATACATATTTTTCTGCAATTCTTCAAAGAAAAAAAATGTACAGAAAAGCACAGAGCTAGTGAGTAGAAACTGAGGAGGCAATAAAAAGGAGTGGAAGCCTGAGGGAGAAGACGTGTGACTGCTCTGGGAGGTGGAGCGGGTCTCTCACACATGTCAGGCCATGCCAGGGAGGAGAGGGAGAGAATATATTCAATATATAAATAAGGGGCAAAAACAGATGGCAGCAACCCGCAGGACCCTTTAAAACAGCTTACAATAGGAAACAGAGGCTTATGGCAGCTTTACGTACTTAAGAGTCATCTCTATTCCCAGCAGATGGGCTAAGCTATGGTTGTGTGAATGACCAGGGCCGAGCTACAAATGTCTGATGTAACATCTCTGTATATGACAAGGATTCTTCTCAGCTTCCTGCACAAATCAAGATTTTTTCTTTTCAAATCTGCTTCCTGGGCTTACT